CTCACTAGTCTCTGGAAATATTACCGCTTTCTTTTATGCCTTAGCCTAATGGGTTAGTAATGGCTTGAACTGTTGTTAGTCTGGGGGCCTCACCATTCCTTTTAGTATCCTTCACACTGTCCAGATATTTGCTAAGTATTCTCTTCATTGAAGTGATCCTGTTTGAAACATCTTAGGTGACTTTTGTCATCTGCATGGAAATTGAGTGATTAAATCTGAATAAAGTGGGCAGAAGATCTGAATAGACATATCTCCAAAGAAGACATACAGGTGGCCAATGTGTATATGAAAAGATGCTCAACATAACTAATCATTAGGGAAATGCAAATCAAAACCACAATGAGACATCACCTCACATCTGTTGTTAGAGTGGCCATTATAAAAGAAAGTATTGGTGATGATATGGAGATATCAGAATCATTGTGCACTGTTATAATATAAATGTAAGTAATGTAACACATATGGAAGGTAAAATGATGCATCCACTATTGAAAACAGTATGGATATTACTAAAAAAATTAAAAATTTATTTTTCTATGATACAGCAAGTCCTTTTCTGGATACTTCTCCAAAAGAATTAAAATCAGTATCTCAAAGAGATATCTGTACTCCCTGGTTAATTGTAGCATTATTCACAATAGCTCAGACGTGGAAGTAACATAAATGTCTACCCATAGATGAATGGCTAAAGAAAATGTGGTATAAACATAAAATAGAATATTAATCAGCATTAAAAAAAGAAGGAAATCCTGTCATATGCTACAACATGGAAGAAACTTGAGGCCATTATGCTAAGTGAAATAAGCCAGGCGTGGAAGGAAAAATACTGCATGATTCCACTTATACGAGGTGTCTAAAGTAAGCAAACTTATTGAAGCAGAAGGTAGAATGGTAGATGCCAGAGGCTAGAGGGATGGGTCAACAGGAGTTGCTGCTCAAGAAGCAAAACATTTCAGTTATGCAAGATGAATGATCTCTAGCGATCTTTTGTACAAACACTGGGCTTATGCTTTAATAACACTGTACCATATACTTAAAATTTTGGTAAGAGGGTAGATCACATGTGTTGCTTTGTTTACCACAATAATAAAGAAAATCCAAGGGTAACTACTATGCCAGTACCAGATAGCAATGTTAAATAAACTTTTGACAACCCCCAAAAAGAGAATCTTAGGATTTTGAAGCAAAAATATGATCCATTTTCATGATATCTCTTTCCCATAGAAAAAAAAAAACAAAAACATCTCCTGGCTTATTACTGAGCTCTGGCTGAGATGAGACACTTGACCATGGGTACCAAGTGACTATGCTACTTGTGATGGCCTATGTTGTGGTAGCAAGAAAAATGTGACTGAACGTTAGCAGCAACGTAATACAATTAAATAGATACAGTATATATGAGAACAGGCCAAGCAGGCCCAGAAAAACAAGTAAATTTTCTCTGCAGGTGGCTTAGACACTCATGGAACTTAACAAATATTTTTAAATAAATTTTTCAATCCTCACTTTCAGAATCACAAAGGAATTACCCTTTGAAAATAGGGAAAACATTCTCAGGGCTAATTTATGTATGAGTATATATGATATTCTCCCAGCAGCAGGAAGTAGCCATTGTTACAACTCCACTGAAAGGTGTCTCTGAAAGATAGTGGTGAAAACAAAAATTTCCCCATGTGTAAAATATCAAGCATTATATCTAGGTAACTCTGTTTTTATGGGGAAAAGGTGCTTTACAACTCTATAGATTCACAGGCAAAGACTAATGGATTGAGTGGTTTGTCAAAGACAGGAATAATTAGAGAGAAGATTAAAGGCAAGAAGATGTGAGGGTAGAGGTATGTGAATAAGCCTCTTGGAGCTTGCATAGATTATGAAGATACTTATATTCTGTAAAAATTCCCTTCAGAAGTCATGTGCTATAGACAACTGTCTCAATGATAAGGTGGTTTGGATGAGCAGTCCTGTCCTGTTCGAGTCTTTTTCCAGACAGTCCAGAATTTTATCATAAAGCGCATGCACAAAGCAGTGAAGACTGGGATGAAACTATGTATGAATGCACAGCAAGGAGTTCACCTCACCAAGGCTCATCTGGCTGTGCCAGCTGTTACATGCTCAATCTGTTATTAGCAAATATGTCCCCACCTCCTTCCCAATATGGTAAACTGCCTAGGGCTCTAGCTAGCTAGAAAGTAGAAAAATTGGTCACCTTCCACTGAAAGGATGAACCATTTTATTCTTCATAGAAATAGTTATAATTTCAAGGTAACAGATTTCCCCTTCACCTTATCTGTAGTATTTCTGCCAGATCACAAACTATGCACATGAGGCCTTAGTAAAAATGTTGGTTTTGATATCAACATTGTGTATGACCAGGAAACATATTTACAGCCAAGGAAATGCAGCAAAATCTAATATTCATGGAATTTGCTGATTTTACCGAATTCCCCCTTAGCTAATGAAAGATTTTCAGGGTTTTAGCTGGGAGACAATATCCTATGTATTTTAGTTTCTGTCTCAAAGGATGCAATGTATGCTTCAAATCAGAGTCTCATATAAAAAGTCTTCTGTATTTTAGTTTGAATACATGGGTTCAGATCTCAAGGGGTTGAAAATGGTAATGACTCCCCTACAAGTATGCGTCACCATTTTCCTTAGACAAGTTTGTTTTCCATTATTACAGCTTGAAGTCAGGCAGTTGGAGGATGCATTTCTCAAAAGAGGAATGATATGGCCATGATTTACTTAGATTATAAACCATGAATGTTTCTTGATTATTTTGAGCTCCTCTGCTTCAGAATTCAGTCAGAGATTGTGTTACTCTCTTGGCTGTAGTCATGGATTCAAAATACCAAAGGTAATTAAGCTGCTGACGTTTATTTGCTGTGGATGAAGTTTTGGATCACCCTATCAGGTAAAGAACCCTAACTAGAGGAGATGCTATCAGAGGATAAGGGGAACATGTAATGCTTATGAACAAAATAAGTAAAAGTATTAAGTGCAGCCTCTTGAGTATCTCTAAGTTCTGAGAATGTAAGGGCTGTGGAACAGTGCTCTGATAGGACTTGGTTTCTGTTTGTTAGGGATGAGAATTTCCTCATTTGAATAGTTCTACAAACAACTGCTCAGGAAAGTTCATTTTCAGTGGGTATGTATGTATGTATGTATGTATAAATGTATGTATGTGCGTATGTATTATTTTTATTTAATTGTTTATTATCCAAATACATGTTGCAGTTAGACAGCTAACTAACAGGAATTTTTGCCAGCTGCCTTCTGATGTTCAGGCAAAGGAAGAAACCTGAAGATAACCAGTAGGAGAGGAGAAAGGAGGTGAGCAGTGGCTATTGAACAGAAACAAATCTCTATGTGGTAGGTGGCCAGTCTCTGAAACCAAATGGGTGTCTGAACATGGGTAGTGCTCAACACCATGAATAGCTAGCCAACCTCTCATTGGACCTTAAGCCATTTACTGCAATCCAATAGCAGAAAGTGAACTGGGCATAGAACAAACAAAAGCAGCTCTTCTGGGAACATAATCAAATTGTAAAATTAAAAATACATCAACATGAATCAACTACTAAAATGTTAACATTTAACAAACACATTTTCAGCCTTCACAAAAAATTTCTTAAGAATTTATTTGCATTTCCAGTCATGTACATATTCAAAAAGAAATTCTTATATGTTCATGTATCATATATCATTCAGTTATTTTAAAATTGGAAGTAATTTTCAAAATGCCACATTGAAATGACAACAGATTTCAAAATTTTCAGTAAGCCAATGGATGTTATTTATTGCCTCAACTATACAGCTAATACTGGAATTAAAACTTTAATTAGAACATGTCATTAAGTTTATAAAGGGTAAAGAAAGTGCAGTCTTTAATCTATTTGCTAAATTAATGCAAAGCTGATTCAAATATGATCTTTGCATGATAACTATTTACTATAGCATGCCCTTAGTCATGTAGACCTGCTAATACCATACGTCCTTGGCATAATGCTTAATTAATAAATTTAAATTTGTAGAAGACAAAGACTGAAAAATGATACAATGATCTTATATTGCAAGTAAATATTTGTTTTTGCTAGAAAACTGAACAAATTTGATTATAAAGAGTGATTATAGATTATGTGCATTAGTCATTTTTCAATATACTAAATTGGCATTTAAGTTTATCAATTGTACTGTTAATTAAACATTTCATAAAAGTACTAAAGTCTTTTCTATATTTCTTAGTTATTTCTTCCATAAATGATCTCTTCATCTTTAACGTTGCTGACATTCTCTGTCCCTGAGAGCAAATAATGACCCACTTAATCTCTTTTGTTTGAGGGAAGTCCTCAGACCCTTGCATTAGAGTCCACACAAGAGTACTGGTGGATTACAGGCTGGAACATAGGCCATGATTATCTGTGTGTTCAGTGGGAATTTGTAGACTGTCCCTAGAATGATACATTATTACAGTTATCAATATAGGCTCTGACTCCAGTCGCTTTGGGCTAGCAGAAGGGCTTATTTTTATGCAAAAATAAATAATTACTCTTATTATAGCATACTAATCTTTTATGGTGGTTCCTTGATTTGTATATTCTAGGGGAACTTGTGAAGTTTAGTCTTCTATGTTCCCTACATCCATCACATTCAGCTCATACTTTGTGTGTTCCTGAGGATTCAGCATGTTGTCAGCCAGCACGTTCCTAAGGTTAAGCATACTGAAAAATAGTGATATTTTGAATAGCGTATACATAAAAGTATTAGTGTCCCTGTGTCAGGAAAATGAGAAGAAGAGGGTCAAGGCACCTGGGAGAAGACAAAAGAAGACTGGGACGTGTTTACTAGTTAATGATCCTGTTGAATTCTAGGCTTTATCTCTAAGCTAAGGTAGAGGAAAGGGAATTTTGAAAACAGGATGGAGATAATGTGTTTTCATTAAGGTCACTGTGGCTAGAATGAACAGGATTGCCCATTAAGGCCTTTGCCAAACTTAGAAAGATCTATTCCCTCTTTTTCTTCTTTCCTGTTTTACCAAGTTTTTGGCAAGAAAACAAACAACATTTTGTGACCAAGAAGATAGCAGTTGCTGCACAGACCAGCAGGAAACCAATCACATCGAAAGAATGGTACTGGAACCAGGTGAGGTCATGGGCAGCTGGACGCAGGTGCTTGGCTCCTTTGTGACGCATGACAAACTCTATCCAGAAGACTGCTCGATCTAGGGGCTTTACAGGTTGATCATGTTGAATCCTTGATAACCTTGTAGCATTCTCTTTATAACTGGTAGGCAAAAATAGACAAATGAGAAATTACATAGAAATTAAAAAAAGGTTTTCTTCTCATTATAGGCAATATGTCATGCATGTTATATGTTAATTAAGCCAAAGGCCATAGATACCTTGAGAAAAAATTCATTCTTTGTGAGACATTAACTTTGTTGATTGTATAGAATCTTAAAAGAGGTGTTAGAGGATGTAGAAGAAATATATTCTTAACAGAATGCGGTGAAATGCAAACATAAGAGATGGAATAAATTTGTTACAAAAGTATACCCTAATTTTTCCAAGGAGCAATTTTGATCTTGTGTAAAGTATAGTTTCCAGGACCGTTCCAAAACCAAGACTGTGAATAACCCAATATTGTGGAAAAATATCCATAAGAAGTTCCATAAGCATGGTCTCTAATCTCTGACTAGTTCAGACGATAGACAAGTAACTGATAATTAACATAAGTAAACCATTTCTTCGGTGTCTAAGACCTTGACTCTGATAATTCCTCTGCTGCACGCACTTGTGTTTTTGTAATGCGAAACACAGTGTCTATATAGGCAATATCAAGATTGGGTAAAGATAATAGGGTAATTTTGGAAGTATCAAGGACATGAACTTTGAGTTTTTCAGATAAATAGAAATATCTTGTCAGAATTATTGCCCCTAATCAATGTGACATCACTGTAGCAATAGTTATATAGAGTTTTAACAACTCTAATCTCTCAAACAACAATGGGAATAAGTATGTATTTGAAAGGCAAGTAATGTCTTCACTGGACATTTCTTGGCTGGTGAGCCAGAATTAGTATATTTTATTTTGGTTTTGTGTTAGAAATAAAAGTTCCAAATGGAGACATGAAGCTAAAGGAAGGTTGGTGAAATGCGAAGAGATGTCCTGATGTGAGTTGGACATTTGGGATTGGAAAAGGAGGAATGTGATCATTAATCACCAGTGAACATGGTATGCTAGATCCAGTAGCAGGGGGATTTACTTGTATTCTTTTTTGGTGTGCAGGGAGAAAGGATAGTCATACTATTTCAATTGGATTGTAATATAGGTAGGGTTAAGTAGAATTTCACATAGCTCATCCTAAAACATTTCAGGCAAACTGTGGTGGCAATAAATGCCTATTTTTCCAAATCATATTTTTGTTCAAGGTTTTCTCCATTTATAGACAGAGATTTAAAATCTGAAATACATATATACTAGATATATAAACTTGCATTTGTAAAATATACTTTCCTATCAATGTGAAAAGAAAGACCTTTGCTCATACTTAAAATGATCATTTAATATTTTATTATACACTAATGTTATATGACTGTTATCTCAAAACATTCAATTAATTAAAATTACTATAGTTTATGTATTTAAGTGTAATCTTTTGTGTTCCTTAATTCCTTTATGGATTAAGAAAAATGGAAACTAAATATATCCATATATACACTCTACAGAAAACCCTTTTGTTCCCAGATAATTTCAGAATTAGAATTAGGTTTAGAGTTAATGGTAAGATATTTCAAAAGAAATAATTTTAGGTATTTTACTGGAAAATTCTGATTACTTATGTTTCTATCTTTTGCATCAATAGTTTCCAAATTTACAATAAAATTTACTGGCATTCTATGCAATAAAGTAGAGTTTTAAAAAATTACAGAACTGACTTACTCTGATATTTAGTAAAAGGAACCACATTGTCAGCAATTAACAACCCAGCAAGTCTAATGCATTAGACATCGAGATCATCATTTATGAGAAACAGAAGATCATAGTAAGCCTTGATGAAGCTCTTAACCCTAGATCCAGCTCCTGAATTGATGATACCAAGACTATTTTGAAAATTAAGACTTAAAATGCATTTAACAAAAATCATTTGATTGGAATGTGTGTGAGAGGGGAAAATGAACTACTAGCACTGACTTTTTAAGTTGGATATAAAGCAAACATTGAGTGTTCTCCCGCTTGGGAATCAATACCTTGACCCCTTTGTCTAAAAAGTCCTGCAAGTAGGGCTTTGAATAGATGGTTTTACATAGATTAGTTCCACCAAAAAAAAAAAAAAAAAAAAAAAAAAAAAAAAAAAAAAGCTGCACAACATTGCCTTTGAGTTTACCTTCTCCTCTACCTCCTGAATTTCAGATTTCAGTAATATAAACAGAATGTGATAACTATCCTTTGAGTTTTGCCTCTGAATAAAATAATGGAGTCTCAGATAATCTGGAAACAAGTTTAAATACAAGACACCTGTACAAATTCAGAACAAACACTGAGAGAGCAAGAGGAAAAAATATACAATATTGGGGGAAACATAAAAATGATGGACTCAGAATGTAGTTAGGCATAATACATAGCTTAAGGAGAGTTGAATTTTAATAAGAATGCAATGGTGATCAACAAAAGATTAAAAAATCAAGTTATAAAACAAAAAACAGTGATAAAGGATAGAAATAGGCAGTTTGAATGGTTAAAATACCTCCTTAAAGGATTAATAATGAAATTAGAAACAGTAATTTTTTAATGGCAAAAAGTAAATTTACTAATTATGGATTGTTTGAGGAAATCTCAATGAGTTAAGAAAAGTAAAAAATATTAGGACACTTAGAAAATAATACAGAAGCAAAACAATCCAAAATATTTTAACATAGAGAACATTGAACTTTGATGTCTCTGAAATAGAGAGAAAAAAAATGGAACAAACAAACATTCTAATAAATAACAAACAAAAAAATTTTCCGAGAAGAAAAAAAAATAAATATTTTTTATTCTAGATTAACAGTATTGAAAGGACATACCATAACCCAGGAAAAGTGTAGACAATAACTGATAAAGATACATCATTAACTAGGTTACTGAATTTAGAAAAAAAAGATGATTTTTTTTTCCAAACTGAAAAAGAAACAACCAAAAATAATCAGACAAGTCTCAAGTTCTTAGAGAAGGAGTTAAAGCCAGAATTCCATGAGTAATATTTACACAGTTCTGAAGAAAAGAGAGAGCTAAATATATTATATTCAGAGAGGTGTCATTCTTATATCAAGGCATTCAGCAAATAAGGCTAAACATGTTCTCAGGGAATTCATACAATATATTCAGTTAAGAATGAATCCAAAATATTTTGGAGTAAAAAATCTCTGAATCAATGGCAAATCCAGATTCCCTTAAGATACAGCCAAAAGAGTAAATATGAGGAAAATAAGTGGCATACATATTGACATGTTAAAAAATAATTTGGAGGTGGGGGAGAGAGAGAGGGAGATCACGAGTGGGGGGACATGCAGGGCCCAACATAGGGCTTGATCCCAGGATTGTGACATCATGACCTGAGTTGAAATCAAGAATGACCTACTTAACTGACTGAGCCACTCAGGCACGCCAACAAATCAAAATTTTAAGTAATACATATTAGAGATTATTTCTATAGCAGGAGTTCAACTATTGCTAAAATTAAAAATACATAGTTAAAAATAAAGACAAAACTGAGTTCATGTATTAATTCTTAATCTTGGTGAGATCTTTCAGGGAAAAAAAACATAATGATATATACCTGAAGTTCAATATAGTTTATTGATTTATTGTAACTAATCTTTACATAAATCAGATAAAATACAAAATTTTGTTTAAAAATCAACACATAGTAATAACCAATATTTATAAAATTATTGCCTACTCTATATTTCTCCTCCCTGTGTATATTCATAAACTGCAGAATGGTATATAGTCAGCGTTAATGATGGGTATTTTTGAATGACAGTGTTAATTATTACTTCCAATTTTGTACTTACTGAATGGTTATACTATTTAAATAAGCATATATATGTGTGTCTATACATATAAGCAGATTATTAAAAAATATCTGGGAGTTTATGTCATCATGGAAATTATTGATTTTGAAATTACATTGATAAAATATTTGAAGTATTAGTCTTTTTTTGCAATTTCAGCAAGTTACTCCAGTGTATGGGAAATGAAATAATAGAGTGGTTCTTATATTGATAATGTTATGATTGCTATTTGAAAATACGTCAGTTAAAAGGCATGAGACAATGGACGTTTTTTCAGGAGTGATGGGCAGTATAAACAATGGTAAGCCTTTAAAAGCAGTAGTACTTACGAAGGTTCATTAATGACTGTTCTCAAGGCATTGAGCAGATCTTCACTTGTCATTGTGTTTATGTTCACCTCCACAGCTGCTCCTTTGGCCTTCATGTGAGCGATATTATCAGGCTGATCAGCAAACATGGGAACTCCCACCATAGGAACCCCATGATAAATAGCTTCATAGATCCCATTGGTTCCACCATGAGTGATAAAAGCTTTTGTTTTGGGATGACCTAGGTCGGAAATTGGGTGAGAAGTGGGTGAGGATTTCATTAAGACAGGTTAACAGAGTTTCAGGAAGAGACAGGGAAAAAACTAAGGGTAAGTCAATGAAGAAAGCAGCATTTTCCACAAAAGCTGAGCACATGGGCTATTTCTATGCACATAGAAAACGATCCCAGGAAAGGAGGAATTAGTTCCCTCTGCATTGTGCAGAAAGATTTACTTGAGGAAGTAACACCTGAACTGAGATTGAAACTTGAAGAATAATGAGAGTCTTAATTGAAGATGCTCTTTTGTGAACCGAAGAAAGCATTGAATCTATAAAATCCACAGCCAATTCTCAAATTATTTCTGCTTTGAAAGTGTAAGTAAAATGTAACATTTTATTATTTTTTCTAGTTAGTTTTTAATTTATTTTTTAAATTTTATTTTAAATTCCGGTATGGTTAACATACAGTGTTCTATTAGTTTCAGGTATACAACACAGTGATTCAATAATTCCATATTTCACCCAGTGCTCATCACCATAACGGCACACCTTAATCCCCAGCATTTGTTTGATCTACCCCTCCCCCACCTCCCCTCTGGTAACCATCCATTTGTTCTCTGTAGTTAAGAGTCTGTTTCTTGCATTGTCTCTCTTTTATTTTTCCTATGCTCATTTGTTTTGTTGCTGTTTCTTAAATTCCTCACATGAGTGAAATTGTATGGCATTTGTCTTTCTCTGACTCAGTTCTCTTAGCATTACACTCTCTAGATCCATCCATGTCTTTGCATATGGCAAGATTTAATTCTTTTTTATGGCTAAATAATATTCCATTGTGTAAATATACCACATCTTCATCCATTCATCCATCAGTTACACTTGGGCTGCTTCCATACCTTGGCTACTGTAAATAATGCTGCTATAGATATAGGGGTGCATGTATCCCTTTTATTATTGTTTTTATATTCTTTGGGTAAATGGCCAGTAGTGTGATTACCGAATCATATGGCAGGTCTATTTTTTTTTTTTTTTTTTTTTTTTTTTTGAGGAACCTCCATAGTGTTTTCCAGAGTGGCTGCACCAGTTTGCATTTTCACTAACAATGCAAGAGAGTTCCTTTTCCTCCACACCCTTGCCAACATTTGTTGTTTCTTGTGTTTTTCATTTTAGCCTAAAATGTGACATTTTTAATTACATACTTATTGAATTTGTTTGTTGTTAAACAGTCACTTTACTTGTCCATTTCCAATTGTACAGCTTTTTTTCTCCTCAGTCTTACCAAGAAGATCATTCTGGGGTATCCAATCATAGAGCCGAGTATTGGCTCCTAATGTGGCTGGTTTCTTTCCTTTGTATCTCCATAAAACCTGTGGAAGACGGTACTTTAATTTTACAAGTGAAAACACAGAATGAAGTCATCTTAAGGCTATAGAGTTATTTATAAGTCATGTAGCCCACCACTACTTTATGTGATAGTGAGAAAAGTGGACATAAGGGATAGTTTGCAAACATGGAGATATAGTGGGACTGTTTACATCAACGTTGTCAAAAGGGGCTTGTGCTAATAGTCTATTAAATATAGTTTTATCATTTTTATATTTGTCACTCAAAGTATTGAGGTGTGAGATTGTAAGTGAAGAGAGAGAAAATAAAAGACTAATTGTGTGAATCAACCAGAGTGTGGAGGTTCTAAAAAACATGAAAATAAACATGAATACTGTGTAAATTTATTTATGTCATAAGGCCATCCTAACTCTCATGTTTCAAATGCAATGTTCTCCAGAAATATAATTAGCTTTAAAATTGTATTGTCTTGATTGTATTGTATTGATAGTCTTTCCTTCTTTCCTTCTTCCCTCTCTCCCTCCATCTGCCTCTTTTTCTTTCTCCATTCTTCTGTCTTTCCTTCCTTCCTTCCTTCCTTCTTGCCTGCCTGCCTGCCTTTCTCTCTGCCTTGTTCTCCTTCCTTCTGAAGTTGGAGGGAGGAGGAAACAGAGGTTTGCCTTCTGTAATTATTTAATAAAGTATCTTCTTGGGATGTTAACCTTTTGTTACATACTTTTAGGGGTGAGCTCTGTATGACTAAGTTCAGATTGAATATAAGTAAGTGGCACACTGTTTAAGTTTTTATTTTATTCAACAATTCCATAACTCACTTAGTGCTCATCACAAGTGAATTCCTTAATGCACATCACCTATTTAACCCATCCCCCCCAAACTCCTCCCTTCTGGTAACCATCAGTTTGTTCTCTATAACTAAGAGTCTGTTTCTTGGTTTGTCTGTCTCTCTTTTCTCCCCCTATGCTCATTTGTTTCTTAAATTCCGCATATAAGTGAAATCATATGGCATTTGTCTTTGACTTATTTTGCTAAGCATTATACTCTATAGCTCCACCCATGCCTTTGCAAATGGAAAGATTTCACTTTTTTTTTTTTTTTGGCTGAATAGTATTCTACTGTGTATCTATACCACATCTTCTTTATCCATTCATCAGTTGATGGACGTTTGTGACCTTTCCATAATTTGACTACTGTTGGTGCTGCCATAACATCAGGTGCATGTATCCCTTTGAATCAGTAGTATTGTATTCTTTGGGTCAATCTCTAGCAGTGAAATTGCTGGATCATAGGGTAGTTCTATTTTTAACTATTTGAGGAACCTCTATATTGTTTTCCACAGGGGCTGTACCAGTTTGCATTCCCAACAGTGCAAGAGAGTTCCTTTTTCTCCCCATTCTCAGATGGCAAAATTTTAGCAGAAAAGCTTAGAAATAAAAATTCAAAGGTTTAAGAGGCCTCATTAGTGCACTCACGGTTATAGAGTTTTATATAGTTTAACTAATATGCCAATATAATGAATTCTAGGGTATTTAATGAACAGGAGTATATAAAGAGTAGAAATCTCGAACTATAATGACAACACAAAGTTAATTGAGTATCATAAATCAGAAAATACATACTGTTTGATAATAATACTAGGATTTTTAATTGTGTTTAATTGTAGAAATTTCAGTTTAGAAAGATGAAGCTTCTGTTTGTAAACCAACTAGATCATGATAAAATCTTAATAAAACCTAGAGATATAAAGTATATCCTTGAGTATGATTCTTGTCTACTTTATGTAGAACCTCTCTCCTTTCCTGGACCTTGGAGTTAACATTCTTGAGAATTTGAGGAGTACTCAGTGCAGGTCCTAAGATTTCAAAAGGTTATTGGGATCTTAACGTTTTAATCTCTATTTCATTGAAAAAAAATGATAGTATAAAAAGATGTATTTCCATAGCAATGCAAAAGTTTATTAAACAAGTGATCAAATGTGCCCCAATACACCGTTTTAATATTTTGAGAAAATTTTACTTACAGATGGTACTAGTTATGCTCAGTGTTTCAAGTTTGATCTAGAAAGAGAACTGTTAGCCACACTTTCTCTCCAATTGGCAGAGTTGCTATGCACCAGGATCCAATGTTGTACTAACCTTTTGTGGAATCTGGGCCAGGGCTGAGGCAATGAGATTGGCTTTTTCATCTGAGAGGTTTCTGACCATTGACCCCAGAGAAAACACCACAATACCATCTTCACCTGAACTTTGGACAAATTCTTCCATTTCCTACAGAGACAAAATTATTTTCATTGCAAATATGCAGGATCATAGGGGGAGAAAAGTTTTCTCATTTATGCATGACATGTGTCAAAATTGTACCATGTCAATTTAGATCCAATAAATTATTAAAAAATCAATCTAACTCTCTCTTAGGCATTCAGGATATTTTTCTCGTGTTTATTCTTTTCCTGACTAATAGGCCTACAAATGAATTTTTTAGAACTTCCATATGTAATTATATGTTTTAAAAGGTAAACTTCTGCTATTGTCCTATCATGATAACATTTATGAGACATTATTTGTCTACCCTCCCACAAGTAGCTGACATGCCCTTAACTTGAGCCTTAGCGTACTGGTAAATATAAATTTCTCGACAAATAAAATTTTCTGGGTCACCACTTACAGTTATGCAGGTTGGGCTCTGCAAAGTCTGGGATTACAGTCTTTTATATCGTAATTTATGTGAATGTCAACTTCTAGAGATCTGTTATGCATGCCCTGTGCAACTATTGTGGCTTCCCTGTAATATTTCTCAATATATTTATTACAATCATCAATTATATTTATTTCTCAATGTATTTATCAATTTAAAGGTAGTAAAGTTACTAGGGAAAGGATGATGTCATAAATGAAAGTAGATTGCTATTTTAGCTTAGTTAATGTTAGGAGAATATCTCTGAAGTCCCAGGAATTGGTGTTTTGCCATTTTGATTTACCACCCTAAGGACAGTGATTGAATAAACACACACACACACACACACACACGTACATGAAGCCTTACACATCTAGCAGCTGGATTTGGATTCTTGATTTGGCTGTTGTTCATTGGTTTTTTTTTTTTTTTTTTTTTTTTTTTTTTTTTCTGTGTATCCAATGACTGGCATAATTTTTTCATCAGAGATATAAGCTATGATTGGTGTCCATATTGTCCAAATGTTTGTATTAGTAATTGGGCTTGGGATGGAATAATTTTTCCTCCTTTACAAAAACATGTCTGAACTATTTTGTGAAATTTGTGTGTGTGTGAAAAGTGAGGATGGGAAGATAAATATAATAGTGTGGTATGGGATTTTATCTAGTGAGCAAGGAATATGTCACATCTCTTTCTGTAACTCTGTTTAGATACTGGTTCATTATCTGCTATAATAACACTCAGTAGAGCTTACCTGCAGCTATAACTTGAGTGGTAAGAAAAGCATATTCAGAATCCTTCCATAAGATTTAAACTTAAATGTGTATTTTACCCTAAATAGAAATTGAGAACTCTCCTAAGAGCACTATTTAACCTGCAATTGTCTCAGAGATTATGTTTGTTTATCTGCAACACGAGCAAATGAGTGTCTGCCTCTTCAATTCTTTCATAAAGACAGTTATTGATAAAGAGACTTAAATACAATATTCTTATCATGTTTTTCTCTTATTCTCTTTTACTTCTCAATATTGTCTTCTTCCAACATTTTTGACTATCAATATTTATTTGTTGGTGACTTTGGAATGTGGTACACAATTTTCCTTTTTACTTCAGAGAAACCAGGCATCATGGTATTAAAGAACAAATTCAGTGACTGGGTTTCTCAGTTCTATGATTATTTTACCTAATCTGTTCCTAGTGCTCTCTGCTGAAACCCAGACCTCGCATTACCTGAATGATTCTTAGAAATGTCCACCTGAAAATTCCTTTGGCTCCTTAAAGTGAATAGGTCTAAACTGAATCCATCTTTGTCATCTCAAAAAAGCTTTTCTGTGAATTATTTTCTGTCTTGGTGAAGGTCACTCTTATCCAAGAATTGCTACCTAATTCCATGTCTTCTGTCAACACTTACTTCTTACTGACCAAAGTCTGTGAAATCTATCTGAGAGTTCTCATGAAGGCATCGTTATCACTCAAGGAATCATAACTGTCTCACCTCATAACCCCATCACACTTGTTAGGAAGACCAAAGCACTTTCCTGAGGGAATTCCAAGGCTGTAGCTTCCTGTTCCTTCCCATACAGTACCCAAACTATAGACACACTGATGTCTTATTTTATTTTAAAGTTTATTTGTTTATTTTGAGACATAGGGAGAGTGCAAGTGGGGAAGGGGCAAAGAGAGAGGGAGAGAGAATCCCAAGCAGGCTCTGCACTGACAGCACAGAGACCGACATGGAGGCTCGATTTCATGAATTGTGAGATCATGAACTGAGCTGAGATCAAGAGTTAGATGCATAACCAACACAGCCAGCCAGGTGCTCAACACACTGATATTTTAACATGCCACTTGAATCACTTCTTTCTTCAGCTGAAATATCAAAGTGAAGTTCAAAAAGGTAATATAATTCATAAAAGACTCCTATGATTTGTAAAATAGATTTGGAGTAGCAAATAGTATATCTCTGTTATTGAGGCAACACGCTTTAAATAAAGAAATAATAGGATTATATCATACGGTACACAAAACATCCTCCACTGTAATAGACATACCTTAGGTAATGGTTTGGCAGGTTTACAGTGCAACCCTCCTACAAACTCAAAATTAGGTAAGTATGGACGAGGAAATTCAAAATCCCAATATGTCCGGATTAGCCAAATTTCTGCTTTCCCCATAACCTCACATAATGTAGTGGGTCTTCCTGGAGAAAATGAAAAAAAGGTAAGTGAAAGTTATTAGCATATATGTTTTTTAGGATAAAATGTACCACTAATTTTCTGACAAACAAGGGAAATCTTTGTCCTCTAGCTATCTATCACATCTAGATGTTAAAAGGAAGGGGAAATTAAGATTATAAGGAGAGAGGGAGAAAGAGAAGGAGGGAAGAAAGAAAGTGGGGTGGGGGTTGGAGGAAGGAAGGAAAGAAGGAAGGAAGGAAGAGAATAAGGGAGGATAGAGGGAGGGAGGGAGGGAGGGAGGAAAGGGGATAAGGAAAAGAAAGATGAGAGGCAAGAAGGAGAGAAGGTAAGAATATATTTGGGTAGGAATACTAATATGCAAATGAAGTTTCACAACTACAAATTCAATCTAAAATTTAACCACAACTCCATGTACTGATGAACTTAATACTCATTGTTTCTTTCCAGTTAAATGGCAGATGACAGATTAGCCTCAGCATATCAGCACCAAATTCCCTATCAATGGTTTTCTAACTATCTTCCAGCTTGTTATAGTCTCTGATTTACTCCTATTGTTTAAGAATCCCACCAGTATTTGTTTACTTTATCTTCCTCAATAAAATCCCATTATTTTCCACTACAACTGATTTGCCACTATTTTCTTAGTAGGAATTCCCTGATTCATACCCAATACAACCCCCTTTGGAATGTGAAATATACATGTCACCAATATCACACAGTTATTTTAGTGTTATCTTTGAATTATATTTTTTGAAAGGGATATTCTATGTATTAATTTTAGAAGATTTGTAGAGAAGAACAAGTGTTTGCAAATGACCAGGTCAACCAGTGTTAGACACAGGAAACATGTTTTGCCCTCAATAAAGAAAAATTCAGATGAGAAATCTCCTTTTTTAAGGATTATAAGCAAACTTGGTGATCATGTGCAACACAGAATGGATAGACTCTCTTTCTATAGTCATTGCTTTGTAGGGCTTGAATTTACATCTGAAGCTATATGGTCAGATGCCTTAATTTAATAATGAAGAGGAATTTCTCAAGGAAACTTAACTTGAAATTGCCAGAGATTGGATGAAAACCCCACCTCACAACCTCCACGTCAATATATTTATGTACTTTAGTTGTCTTATTCCATGTGTGTGACATCCTGTCTTGATTACCAACTCCCTTGGTGAAATTACTGTGTATAATGTATAGATCACATTTTAAGAAATACCCAAATTAAAGTATTGACTAAAATTCTATATTTGAGATAGTGGTGCACAGTTACAAATACAAAGGCAATCAAAAGTAAAGGAAATAAGGGGAGGGACCATGATAGCGGAGCAACATGGAAGTTTTTTGCTCCTCTTGTCCATAAAATGCAGCTAGAAATTCAACTCGTCCCTGAAATGCAACATCAAACCATCTTGCACACCTATAAGATTGATCTGAGGATCAACCCCACAATCTACATAACTTGAGTCACAGAATTTGGCAGGTATGTGGCACAGAGAGGTGAACTGGGAGAGAGAAGCTGCAGAGTGTAGGGAGCTATTTTTGCTTGTGGAGAGAGGACAGAGACAGAGGGGAGAGTACAGGAAAAGCACTCTCCCTGAAAGTAGCTGGAGAGAAAGTGAATGAGTGGAAATACCCATAAGGGACTGAACAAGAAAGAAAGGAAGAAAGGAGAAAGGAGAGGCTTTAAACATGATTAGGACTCTATAAACAGGGGAGCACAGATTCTGGAACTCCACAGCTCGATAACTGGTGGAGCTCTGGTGGGAAGGGCCAATCCCCAGGATTGAGGGATCCTCAGACCACATGGGAGAGAGGCAGTTCCCCTGGTGAAAAGACATTTGGTAGAGGTTGTGCGGCCTCCTCACAGGCAAAGGTCTCAGCAGACCCCAGAGAACATCCATGTTTGCTGGTCTTGGAACAAAGACGTTAGAGGGAGGTGAAGCTTCGCGCCAGAGGTATGTTTTGATTTACCATAATCCCTGAAACGCTGCTTCTACATAATCTCATGGACTTTTTCTGGGGCAGGCTGGCACCTGGCCACAGTCTCTGGCATCTGCAGCAGCACGGTCACACAAATGTTCCTGTGGACTGGCTGGTACCTGGCCATTGCTCGGTAAGATACTCCCCCAGATGGTCAGAGCAGGTCAAAGCCACAGGGACCTCAGAAGTGAGGGGTTTAGAAACACATCCTCATCTGAGATAAAATTTTGGAGAGAGGTGCCATCTGGTAGCCTGACAGCTTGATCGTGATAGTGTAGAAGTAGGGAGTGGACAGTAGCCAGAGACAAAGGAGGTGTGTTTTATTGCCGGTGGGAGAGACCACAGAGTTCTGTTGCCAGAGACTATGTAGCCGGGTGATACCATTTTTACTTTTTCTATGGATGCGCATACACGTGTACATGTGCCACAAGGATCCACACCAATAAGCTAAGCAGTACCATCTAGTGGAGAACAGAGCCGTTACACCAAGTCCGTCCAACTGTTCCAACTGTGCTCTAGAGGAACACCACCAGTCTCTCTGCCTGCTAGTTTATGGACTATAAAGTGCTTCATAGTTTGACTGCTAGGGCAAACTGGATGTTATTTCAATAATATTTATTCTTTTCTCTGATCCATCTATTCAATTTTTTTCTTTTTCTTTTTCTTTTCCTTTCCTTTCTTTTCTTTCCTATTCTTGAATACAGAAAGAGAAAAAGGTTAATTTTATTTTATGCTTTATAAAAAACATTTTTCTTTATTGTTTTCTACTGTATTTTTTATTTTTTTATTCCATTTTACTTTCCTCATTTCATTTTATTCTATTTTATTATATACATATTTAAAATTTTTCATACTTTTTCCAACCTTTTTTCCTTTCCTTTTCTTTTCTTTCTTTCTTTTTTTTTTCTTTTCTCTTCTTTGCCTTTTTTCTCTATTCTACCAAGCTTCTTTCATCTACAAGACCAAAACACACCTAGGATCTAGAATCCTTCATTTGATTTTTAAATTTTTATTTATTTTATTCTTTTTCTTCCTTAAAAATGATGAAGCAAAGGAATTCACTCCAAAAGAAAGAATAGGAGGAAATGAAAGCCAGGGACTTAATCAAAACACATATGAACAAGATGTCTGAACCAGAATTTAGAATCATAATTAGAATACTAGCTCGGATTGAAAAAAAGTGTAGAATCCCTTTCTGGGAGATAAAGGATTATTTAGTCAGGACAAAATAAAAAAACGTTATAACTGAGCTGCGATCTCAAATGGATGCCATGGTGGCAAGGATGGATAAAACAGAACAGTGAATCAGCAGTATAGGGGACGAACTTATGGAGAAAAATGAAGCAGAAAAAAAGAGGGAAACTAAAGCAAAAGAGTGTGATATAAAAGCTAGAGAACTCGCTGCCTCATTGAAAAAGGAATAACATTTGAATCATTGGGTTCCCAGAAGGTGAACCGAGAAAAAAAGGGGTACAAGTTTTATATGAGCAAATCACAGTAGAAAACTTTCCTAACCTGGGGGAAGACACAGCATCCAAATCCAGAAAGCACAGAGAACCCCCATTAGATTAGACAAAAAACAACCATCAGCAAGGCATATCATAGCGAAATTCACAAAATACACAGAGAAGGAAAGAATCATGAAAGAAGCAAGGGAAAAAAGTCCTTAATCTACAAGGGAAGACAGATCAATATCATTGCAGACTTATCCACAGAAACTTGGCAGGTCAGAAGGGAGTGGCAGAATATATTTAACATGGTGAATCTGAAAAAATGCAGCCAAGAATTCTTTACCTAGCAAGGCTGTCATTCAAAATAGAAGGAGAGATAAAGAGTTTCCCAGACAAACAAAAACTAAAGGAGTTTGTCACCACTACACCAGCCCTGCAAGAAATTTTAAGGGGGACTCTCTGAAGGAAGAAACGATGAAACAAAACAAAACAAAAAGTCCCAAAGCATCAAAGACTAGAAAGCACCAGAGAACATCACCAGTGACTCCAACTCTATAGGGTACACAATGGCAATAAATTCATATCTTTCAGTACTGACTCTAAATGTCAATGGACTAAATGCTCCAATCAAAAGACATAGAGTAACAGAAGGATAAGAAAACAAGATCCATCTATATATTGTTTACAAGAGATCCATTTTAGACCTAAAGACACCTTCAGATTGAAAGTAAGGGGATGGAGAACCATCTATCATGCTAATGGTAGCCAAGAGAAAGCCAAAATTGCCATACTTATATCAGACAATCTAAGTTTTAAAATTAAGATGGTAACAAGAGTTGAAGAAGGGTGTTATATCATAGTTAAGAGGTCTATCCACCCAGAATACCTAAAAATTCTAAACGTTTGTGCCCCCATGTGTAAGCATGCAAATATATAAATCAACTAATCACAAGCATAAAGAAACACATTGACAATAATACCATAATAGTAGGGGACTTCAACACCCACTTACAGATGCAAAGTTCATCTAAGCAGAAAATCAACAAGAAAATAATGGTTTTGAATGACACACTGGACAGGATGGACTTAACAGATATATTCAGAACATTTCATCCTAAAGCAGCAGAATACACATTCTTCTCCAGTGCACATGGAACGTTCTCCAGAATAGATCATATACTAGGACGCAATCATCCTTCAACAAATACAAAATTGTACCATGTATATTTTCAGACCACAACACTATGAGAGTCCTAATTTACTGAGAATTTTTAACATGAATTGGGGTTGGATTTTAACAAATACTTTTTCTGCATCTATTGATATCCTCTTGTGTTTTTTTGTTTGTTTGTTTGTTTGTTTGTTTGTTTTTTTAGTCTCTTGATGTGATGGGTAACATTAATTGATTTCTGAATGGTGAACTGGTCTTGCATACTTAGAGTAAATCCTACCTGATGATGGTATATAATTTTTTTTATACATTGTTGGATTCACTTTGCTAATAGTTTGTTAAGGATTTTGGATCTATGTTTATGAGAAGTATTGGTCTATAGTTTCCTTTGCTGTAATGT